CGGCAATTTGTTCGCAAACGAGCACAATGGATATGGCCGACGCCGTCAGTCACTCAACAAGCTACACTTATGGAGCGATTCCTGACAAGCTCGTTGCTGTCTTGTGGCGTCATCCGTGAAAGAAACGGATTGCTGCACACTGTGCAGTGCTGCCAGGCTGACAGCCTGGCAGCAGAATCTGCTGCAGATGGTTTCAGCTCCCGGATCAGGATGGTGTATGCGCTGGCTTTTGGAAGAGGGCAGTTTTGGTTCAAACCGTTTTCAAAGCTTTCGATGCCAACAACACCTTGTCGGAAGAGGTGACCATGAGCCATACGACGGTCTTCTGGAAATTTTCCCGTCAGTGGAAGCTTCAGAAGCGGGCGTCCGACGCCGCTCAGAAGAATGTCTAGATGACACAGCTGCGAGACAAGAAGCAGTATTTCCACAAGGTCCATGCTTGATGCAATCGGTAGTGCAATGGATATGCTGTAGACACATCCTTGCTGTGTGATATTTGAATTTGTAGCGGTTACGACGGCTACGCCCGAGGAGCTACGCGGATCATAGATGCTGTAGCCATCGTATCCGGAGATATGTCTTCCAGGAGGTTCGTGACAGCGACACTGTCTGCGGGCCCAAATTTTCACTGCGCTAAGAGATCCAAAACGAGCTCCTTCTGCGAAAGCGTGACCCCGATGATATTTGTCCTGTGCCCAGTGTTATGTAAAAACGTAATCGCTATGATAAACATTAATTTTAAATCTCAGTTTGAATTCCCCTTCGTTAGAGTCAAATTGAAGTCATTATGAGGTACAGGATGCGCTTCCTCTGACGTGGTCGGTATATTTTCGTCCGTGCAGCTTACAGACGGCTACAGTACACGGGCGTTGAGGCAACTTTACACAACGACAAATGCGCTAATACAATAATGACGATCAAGCGCGAATAAATTACACATTCTGCCATGATCACGCGTCTATCGTCAAAGTGTGTCTACCAAGGTAGAAATCTCTACATGCATTTTCGGCATCGGTATATCCTAACATTCGTGGATAAGGGATAATCTGTTTGAGCAGGTTTGCTTTCATAAACACTATTTAGGGAATGTTGCATTCTAGGTTTTGATATGGCCCACTCTGCCGAAAACGAGGTGTGTGACTGTACTAGTATGCTTATCAGGGTTCAGCTACCAGAAGGAATGTGCGTTGTGCAGTAAGAAAAGTAAAACCTTGGAATATCTGTGCCGATATGCGGTGGATGCAGCAACGCCAACTTGCACTCACCGCATATTGGGACGTTTTTGGGTTATATGGATTCTTCGAAACTCCAACGCCGGAAATCTTGAATTTATGAATAGTGGGACTAAGTATAAAATAGTGAAAACCACATATTTCGGTGTTACTCCTCGAATACTGTACATCTAGAATTAGCTTATTGTTTCAGAAGCAAAATACCGAAACTAGGGTACTTTGCTTTAGGCTGGGAGGACTGGGGAAATGGCGTATAAATATTTTCTTTAACTACCATAGTGTGTACAAATAGTGCATGATGCACTGTGCATCGTGTTCATGGTTCTGTTCTTAACGTGGCGAGTCATTCTAAACCAAAACTACTCGACGTTTTTACAGCGTTCAACTAAAGTTGTAAGCTCAAGCCAATAAATTTTTGAAGGCTCAACTAGGGCCCCGCGTATGCTGAGATAGCTATCTTACCGTGATAAATAAGACGTGAGAGCTGCTTCTTCGGCAGGTAGACCCGTCACACCGCTACTGAAGTAGACTACGCATTTTTTGTCATATCTACTTCGTTCCAAAAGATGCCTTGATTTTGTGAAAGTGGCATTGCGGTGGCCACTGAATACCTCAAACGGTTTAAAATGAAGCTAAATCCACGACACTTAATTGTAATGTACTGCAGTTGGCCTGTTACATACGCCAAGACGGGATTAAATAATACATCATGACTCGTGATTCACGCGTTTTTCTAGATGGATGCGATGGCGGTTGGAAACGGTTTGTACGAAAGCATTGAACCAGCTAGCCACTGCTACGGTGTAGTTTGTGTGAATACAGTGCGTCACCAAGTTGCGTAAATGCTGCGTGCCGATGTCCCTTTTTGCTGTCCTCTGTCGCGTTACCCGGGGTGTTTCCGAAAGGGAAAGTTTATTAATGAGGAAAAGAAAACAGGTACTTGGCCACGGAAGGGTGCTCCTTCACCGTGC